TTTAAGTTTCTAGGGGCAGCTAACAAACTGGTCCCATAATAAAATGAAACCAATCCGTACTCTTATCAAGGAATATGAGAGATTCTGTTTCCTCACAACCCTTTCAATCTTTTAAATTTTGGTACTTTAAAGTTAGTACTTCGCTGTTGTTTTAGTTACATTTCTTTGGCTATTTGTAAGGTTGAACATCCTTTCTCACTCATTAGCTGTCTACTTCTCTGAATTGTCAAATCACGTTATTTCTCCACTTTAAATGGGTAAGGCACCTTTTTCTTATTGATTTCCAGGAGACGATATAGACAGAGATATTAACCTTTGCCTGATGTCTATGTAGCAAATACTTTCTTCTAGCCTGTTGTTTCTGTTTTAACTTTGTGTATAGTATCTTTCTCCACACAGAAGTTCTTAACTTTAATGTAGTTGAAATTATTGCTCTTTACTTTATGGCTCCTGAGTTCTTAAACCCTGATCAGAAAGGCTTCTCCACGCTGTTATAAAAATATTCTGGATTTTCCTCTGGTACTTTTACAGCTTTATTTTTTGCATTTGTTTTTGTACAAGGTAGGGATTTAACTTAAATTTTTTCCAAATGGTAGCTAATAGTCCCATCTTATTTACTGACTTCCCACTGATCTGAAATGCATTCTTTGTCACAAATTAAATTCCCATATGAATATATGGGTTTGTTTCTAAATTCTCTATTTTGTTCCATTTATGTATTCCTCTATTTCTGTGATGATATAATATTTGTAATTTCTGTAGATTTATGGTAAGTTTTTATATCTAACGGGGCAAGTCCCCCCTCATTGCTCTTCTTTTTCAAAATTTTCTTAGTAATTCATGGGCATTTACTCTTCCAAATGAACTTTAAAATCCAATTGCACAATTCCCAAAGAAAATACCACTGAAATTTTAATGAGAAATACATTGAATCTTTTGATCAAATTGGGGGGGAAAATGTCATTTTAAACCATATTGAATTCTTCCCGTCCAAGAATAGGATATGACTCTTGATTTATTCAAGTCTTATAGCCTTTGATGAAATTTTAGTTTTCTACAGAGAAGTATTTTAAATTTCTTATAAATTCGTAGGAATTTTATCTTTTTTTTTTTTTGCTATTGTGAATGGGAATCTTTTTCTATTATGTCTTCTAATTAGTTATTGATGGTATTTAGAGAAGTTGATGGTTTGGGTGTATATTTATCTTGTATCTACCCATCTCACTGAATTTTCTTATTAGTTCTAATAATTTTTCCTTTTATTCTCTTTGATTATCTAAGTAGACAACTATATCATCTTCAAATAATGCTAATTCTGACTCTATTTCTGATATTTATACCACTTATTTCTTTTTTTAATCCCAATGATTAAAACTTCCAGAAAACACTGGTTAGTGACAGTGATAGTAGTCATCCTTATTTTGTTCCCAAATTGAATGGAAATTTATCTAGCACGTCATTGTTACATTTGATGATTGTTTTTGGTTTCTGATAAAAATTCTTTCCAAGTTAAGGAGGTTTTCATTCATTCCTAGTTTACTGTACTAGTTATCTATTGCTGTTTAACAAATTACCCCAATGCAGCAAGAGATAACTAAGGCACTAAGGGTTTTAAAATCAAGAATGGATGTGTGATTTTGTCAGATTATTTTTTCAGCATTTATGGAGATAGAGTAAAAAGATTGTATAACTATTAGTATAATCAATTACAATAACAGCTTCCCTAATGTTGAACAATCCCTGCACTCCTGGGACAAACCTTCACTTGTCACGATACAGTCTTCTTTTAATATACTGATGGATTCAGTTGGAGAATCTGTAATTTAAAACATGTGTTGCTCTATTAATATGTGAGGCTAGGCTATAGTTTTCCTTTTTTTTGTCTAAACCTGTCCAGTGATACCAGCCTTCTAGAATGAACTAGGAAGCTGTCCATCTTTTCCTATTAGCTGATCTTTCAATATTGGATAGAACTTCCATGATACCTGAACTTCCATAATACCAGCTGGGCCTGGTACCATTTCTGAGGAGAAAACTTTGACCATCTTTTAAACTTCTTCTATACTGTTCCATTCTATTCAGGTTTTCTGCCACTCCTTAAGTGATTTTGGTAGTTTATATTTTCCTAGAAAACCACCCATCTCATCTAGATTTTCACATTTATTGGTATAAAATTACACAAAGCATTTTCTTATGACTTTTTCATATACTCTGAATCTGTGGTTAAATCCCCTTCATCATACCTTATTTTATTTATGTTTTCTTGCCTTTTTCTCAATCATAACTGCCAGAGGAGGGTCTGTCTAGTTTGTTGGTCTTTTCAAAAAACACCTCTTAGCTTATCAAACCTTTTGTTTTCTATTTCATTAATTTCTGGTTTTATATATAGTAATTACTTGATTCTGCTTTCTTTTGGTTATTCTTTTTCTAGAACTTTCTAGACTCTTGATCAGAATAATTAGTTCATTTAAACTGTCTTGTTCTCTAATAAAAGCATTTAAGACTACAAACTTTCTTCTGGGAACCCCCATGGTCATATCCCATAGGTTTTGATCTATGACATTTTCAACTGACATTTATTCTAAATAGTCCATAAATTCCATTCTTATTTCCTCTTTAACACAAGTATTTTTAAACTTTCAAATGGACCTAGGCTTTTTGCCATTGCTATTAATATTTTATTTCATTGCATTATAATCAGAAAATGTAAAATGTGTTTTCAAATTAACTTGGAAATAATCTCCTTCCCCAAAAGTATAAGCAGATTGTTCTCTCTGTCTAAACACCCTTCCCCATCCTATCCAACTGACAAACTCTTACTCATCCTACAAAACAGCTCAAATGTTATATATTCTAGGACCAACCACTCCCACTTCGGGGTGGGGGGAAGGTATCTAGAGAAGGATTTTTAAGGAAGGACAAGCTACAAACAGGCTGTGAATGTCCTCTTCGGTCTTCTGGCCTGGTCCCCCAGTCACTCTCCTCACACGCTCAGACACCCATTCCACAGTCACTCCAGAGGCTAGAGGGAGATGGGGGAGGGGCTGGCAATGATATTGATATTTGTCTGGAGGGGTGAGGGATTGGGGGAGGGGTGGGTCTAGCTCTTACCTGCTCTCTGCCAGCCTGCCTGAGGGGGTAAGCTTCATGGAGTCAAGGACCTGAGTAGGACAGCAATACTGGTGTAGAGTATGAGACGCTGTGGACCTGAGAGACAGCAAGAGACAGAGAGAGAAAGAGAGACAGAGAGAGAGACAGGGAGGGAGGGGAGAGGCAGGGTGGGGAAGGGGGACAAGGAGGTGAAAGTGAGTGGGGTAGGGGAAAGGGGAAGACTGGGAGGAATGGGTGGTGGAGGATAGGGAATGGAAGAGGAGGGGTGGGAGGGAGGGAGGGAGAGGGGGAAGGCAGGCAGGCAGGCAGGCAGGAAGGAAGGAAGGAAGGAAGGAAGGAAGGAAGAAAAAAAGAAAAAACCACAAAGTCAAGAAAGAGAGGACGGCACTCGAACCACAAACAGAACACAACGACAACAGGGGGCAGCAGAGACGAAAGAGCTGGGCTGGGCCTCCTGTGTTCCAGGTGACTCCGTGGGGACCTCGGCCTCAGAGACACTGGGACACCACAGTAGGGAAGGGGGAAGGGAGCCCTCCTCACACCAGACGCCCCGGGTAGGGAAGAGGGGAGAGGGAAGGGTGGATGAAAGAGAAAGGGAAAAGGTGTATGGGGGGGTTCCCCCTTAGAGAAGACCCCCCTCACAAGAAAGGAGGGAGGGATGGGGAGAAAAGAGGCTCTGGGTCCAAAGTGGGGGAAGAACCCAGGCCAGGGCGGGGTGGGGGTGGGGGTGGTGCAGGAGACACTGGAGGAGGAGAGGGAAAGAGACAGAGAGAAACCGAAAGAGACAAGACAGAAAAGGAGAAAGACAGAGAAGGAGGAAGACAGTGAAAGGGCGAGACAAAAGACACAGAGAGAAGACAGGGAGAGGCAGAGAGTGCCAGAGCAAAGGACAGGAGAGGCGAGGGCGGAGGAGAGCTGACAAGGTCTCAGTGGTCTTGGTGACAGGATGGGACTCAGGCTGAGCGGGCGAGTGGGGCCCAGCGAGCCAGAGGACAGGGTGGTTCTTTGCTTCTCAGGCCAGTGCTGCGCCCCCAGCCTGGGGCAGGGCCCAAGCTCCGCCCCCCAGCGCTGTGCTCCCACCCTTAGCGTGGGGTCCAAAGGCCCCTCTGCCTCCTGCTTCCCACGATTAAAGTCCAGAGAAGGGGAAGGGGGAGAAGAGACAGCAGGGTAGTGAGGCCGAGGGCCCTGTCCCTGCCCTACCCAGCACAGGGCAGATACTGGGAGTGAGTGCCAGGTCAGCCAGCCCCTGCCCCCCACGAGCCCCTGAAGGCAGGTTGTGGTCAGGGCCTGGCCATTCAAGAGCCGAAGTAAAGGCCAGGAGATGTGGCTGCAGGCCAGGCCAGCTGCCCACTATCTCGCTTGCTGCGAATTGGAGAGGATGCCTAAATCTTAGAACCTTAACAGAGAATCCTGGAATCTGATACTCTTCTTATCAGAGCCTCTGGAATAATTGTCATCAGCAGAACGACTGTTTCTCAAGTGCCATCTAAGTGCCAGTCACTGGCCCAAGTCCTTGACTCATTAAACCTGAGACTCAGAGACCCTTAGGCTGCTGGAATGTTGGTATCAGAGAGTCTCAGCGGTTGTGGACAGCCCCGCAGCGCCAGGCTAGGTGCCAGGGCAGCCACCAATCACACCCCTCACAGGCCACCGACTGCGCTGCTCAGGGCTCCAGGGTTCTTACAGAGCTGGGCACCCAGATGCCCCTGGGCTCACCCACTTGAGCTGGCTCCCTCCCCCAAGCCAAAGGCCTCCAAGAATCCAAGAGGAGAGCCAGGAACCAGGAAGCCAGGAGGCTGCTGAATCAGCAGCCCAGGGACCAGGTCCAGGCCTGGGCAGGAAGGGAGGGGGTCGGGCTGCAGGGTTGGGGGTGGGGGCCAGGTTCCTACCTGCTACTCCTCCCGGGGGGCTCCATGGGTCTGGACCTGTCCCGAGGGCAGGCCCCCTGGCCAGGGCGGTGCCTCCACCGCTGTTGCCACCCCCTCCTCCCCAGCCCTTCCCTAGAAGGAGGAACCAAGGAGGCGGGGCCAGGCCTGCTGGGCTATAGGCCAGACTGCAACTGGAAACTTTGCTCCTTCCCCTGCTCCCCCAGGAGGGCTGGGAACTCCTAGTACGAGGAAGCAGCTTTGAGAGCTTGAAGTGACTCCTCTCGGCCAAACCTCAGGCTGTGCTCACTATATGCACCTCTGCTGGAATCTCCCCAAGTACCCTGTCAAGTACGTGTCACTAGCCCTATTCTCCCGAAGAGAAAATTGAGATGTAGAAACATTAAGTAACTCGGCACAGGTAATAGAGCTAGTAAGTAGCAGAACCCCAAGATCAGGACCTGGTTTGGCCATTCCCAAATCAGGACTCTGTCCCCTTGGCCATATTGCTGCCCTGTGAATACAGAAACCTTTCCATAGAAGCTTTTCACAAACATTCTCATCTTCCACAGAGTTAAAGAGACTCTGTGTGGTGGTTATGCTGGGATGCTCCAGTTCAAGTAAAATTCAAATCACCCATCTGGGGAAATCAAGATGAGGGCCCAGCCGATATTCTTGACCATTGCAATAAGCTCTCACTTTCTTCTGCGTTGTTTTCTGAACTGGCTAAGAGAAATGCTCCCTAAAGAGAAAAGCAAAAATCAGAAGACACGCCATTCACAATCTAGAGGCTGTTCTTCCAAGGAAATTGGCCCACCTGATTTTACAGAGGGGGGAATTGAGGCCTGGAGAGGGGAAGAGTCTTACTAAAGTTCATACAGCCAGTCAAACTAGAATCCCCATCGACCTACCACAGTAATCTCTCTCTCCTCCTTATGTGGGGGGCTGGAGAAAGGAGACAATTTGGAGGATTTGAAGGGTGTGGGGTTCCTGAAGAGTACCCCAGATCCAGCTCAGAGGGCTCCTGTCCTTTCACAGCCCCAGAGCCCAGGCCCCTGGCTGCTCTGAGCAGAAGGCATCCCTGGGAGGGGCCAGGGGGCCAGTGATCTAGAAGGAATAGGAGTTGACAGGCAACAGGCCAGCCTTCCTGCCTTCCTGCCTTCCTGCCTCCCTGCCGGGGCAGCTGGTTCCTCTCAAGAAAGCCAAAGCTGCTGAGAGAGATAGGCCCTATGGACCACCGCAAAGTTGGCATCTATGGGCTCTTCATGGCCTCTTCTCCCTCTGCCCACCCCCTAAAGCCCCTTGGTCTTCAAGGCTCTGGTCTCAGCCCCTGCTTTTCTTTCTCTCTCCCTCAGCAACTCTCTTGGCTCTTGTGGCAGCCGCACCTTGTGCCCATTTGCAGTTATTGTCCTAAGGGTGGCACCTGTGGCCCAAACCTTCACCTTGGCCTGGCAGAAGCTGAGAGACAGAAATTCTAGTCCTGGCCCTAAGGCTGATGCTGTGTGACCTTGAGCAAGCCCCTTCCCCTCTCTGGTGAGGCAAAGAGCTTACATTTTGGTGCCTGGCAGAGAGCTGGGTACAAGCCCCAGCTCTACAACTTTTCAGCTGGGTAACCCCTCTGAGGCACGGTTTGTTCATCTGTAAAAGGTGAGTGGCAACTCCTATCTCACAGGTTCTTGTGAGGTTTCAATGAGACACATATGCACATGCTGAAAAGTCTCAGTCTGAGCCTGAGAGAGTATGATCCTTCTCCCAGGGAGGTAGGGGAGACTCTTGGGAAACCTGTTTGTTTCGGGCAGGGGAAGATTTCTAGGAAGATACCTCTTCATCTGGGCCACTCTTGGAATTCAGGCATATCTGAGCCTGTTGGGGTGACTCATGTGATAACCCTCTAGGGGCTGAAGGGAAGAAGGAGCTAAGGGTGAGGAGCCTGACCCAGCCGCAGGGCACTGGCAGGGCCTTCGTTCACTTACACTACAGATCCTGTGAGCCAGGCACTGAGCTGGGGGACAGACACGGCAGTGACTAAGGGCAGTCAATGTCCCGATCTCATGGAGCTCATATTCAAGTGAGAGGAGACAGACATTATTCAACCACTAATGGAATTAAGCTGGGCAAAAAGTGGAGGTAGTGGGGGAGAGTGTTCCAGGCAGAGGAAACAACTTGGGCAAAGGACCTGAGGTGGTATTTCCAGGAACTACAAGAAGGCCAACGTGGCTGAGTGGAAAAAGCAAAGGGGAGGTGAGCGAGACTGGAGATGTAGGCGGGGGCCCAATCATGCAGAGCCTGGAGGTCCTGATAAGGTTGCAGTATTTATACTAAGAGGAATTTGGAAGCCTGTGGTTCACGGATAGGCCTGGGGCGGGGAGTGTCTCTGAAGCCCCTAAAGTTGTATGAAAAATATGAGTGAGTATGAGTGCATTTCCGGGGAGAACATTGCTTTCATTAGATCCTCAGATGGGTTTGTGATCCCAAAAGGGCAGGGAAACTCCTTATATGAGTCCATTCACTAAGTGCTGACTATGAGCTAGTGTCAGGCATCCCGGGACCTTCTGTGAGCTGCCCCTCCCCACCACTTCCCCGTGGTCTCAGCCTCCCCCCACCCCACCTTCAACCTGTGCTCCACCCAAACAGAAGTGCCTACAATTCTCTGCCATACTCTGCTGTCCGCCCTCACCTTTGCCTCTGTTCAAAAGACCGTTCCCCACCACCCTGCCCCCAGTGCCACCTCCCCACCTCGTTAGCTCCCCCTTGTTCCTCACAAGTCTGCTCAGAGGTGGTGCCCTCTGGGAACCTGACTCTGGGATCCCTCCCCTGTGTCCTTCCCACCCTGCGTTTCTCCAGCGCTGTCTATTCACATGCCGTTGCCCCTTCTGGTCCAGGAGCTCGGTGGGGACAGACACCATGTCTTATTCATTCCAGTGTCCCCAGCATCCGGCACAGGGCACCTAGTCAAACAGGTCAGCAGGTATTGAGAGACAGACAATCCACACTGAGGTAGAGGCTGCAAGATGGGCTGCTGGACACTAGAGGGCACTGTGGCCACTGGAATCCTGGCCTGCCGCTGGCACTAGCCAGGCTGGCCCAGGCTGGCCCCTGGGACCAGGCAGGCGGGGGGAAGCATGGAAACTCTGCTCCTGGGTCCTGCAGCTCCTTGGCTCTGGGTCTAACTGACCGGGGTCCCAGTCCCAGCTTCCCAATCTACCTTCTGCCTCCTTTCCAGATTATCTCTCATGACAGCGCCATCCCACTGCAGATACAGTTACAGTTCTTCACGAATGTAAGTACCAAACACTGCTCCACAGCCCTGGCACACTTTTTTGCTCTGTCTGCAACACTCTCCACTTCACCTCACACACACACACCCCGCCCCTCACCAGGCTAACTTCTACTCATCCACCAAGTCACAGTTTAGATGTCAGCTTGGAGAAGCCTCCCTGACCCTCAGGTTGTGTTGGGTACACTTCTGAGGTTCTCCCACAGCACCCTACACTTCGCCTGTAATTGTCTGTTTCCTTATCTGCTTTCCTACCAGACGGTGAGCTTCCTCAGAGCAGGATTCTATTATTCATCATTGTATCAACCGCATTTAGTTTAGCACAGTGCCTGGCACGTTGTAGGTACTCAAGAAATTGTCCCATGACTAAGTGAATGGATGGATGGACAGATGGATGGATGACCTCGGGCAAGTCACTCTACCTCTCAAGGTTTCAGTTTCCTCCTCTGTAAAGTGGATCCAATCACCCTTACTTGGCAGAGCTGCCAGGAGGATTAAAGATAAGGTGTGTGGAATGCTCCTTAACAGTACCTGATACATAGTACACGTTTTCTGAATCAAAGCATTTATTAAGTTGAAGGAGGCTTTGCCCTGAGCCTGGGATGATCTCTCCCACTCAGGCTTACCACCTATATGTGGAGGATGGACTTAACAATAATAAGAAAACTATCATTTTTATTAAAAAATAACAACAGCACCTGCTATGTGCCAGGCCAGAAGTAGGAGCTCCCTAAGGAGGTGGGCAGTCTCCAGTCTCAGCCAGAGGATGCAAGGCCCGGGCCGAGCTCAGAGCCATGGGCATTGCCCCTACATCTGGAGAACAGTCATTACGTGCACAGCTGGTTCCAAACTCTTTACTCATAGGTGAAAACCTGTCTAAGGTTCCCTCTGTAATTAATGTAAAAACTGCAGGGTTTGTATTAATGGAAAAGTAAGCTCGAGCGTCAAGTTGATAATATTGATAATGTGTGCTTGTAATTCTATACTGAAGATAACTATAAATTCAGTCACTGCACTAATAAAATGTGAAAATTCCTGAAACAACCAAGAACTTGGTAGCAGCTGTACCATTATGCCAGTTGTTCTGAGACTATGAAAATCACCGCACACTGGTGGCGATGGTAATATTCACTGTGCACTTAAAGGCTGTTTGGGCACAAAATAAGGGGAAAGTTTTAGATAAAACAGGGCATTTTGATGCAAGAGCACGGAACTTGAAAGCATAGTGAGCAAAGGTCAACTTGCATTAGAGTAGGAACCAAAACCTTGATGGACGAGCAAGCTTATAATCGTGGGCCTCTGAGCAGACTACTCCCCAGGCTCTGACCTCGCTTGTGAACACATAAAAGCTGTGGGCACTGTAGAAGAAACACCAAGTCCAGAGTATTTGACCTCTACCCTCACCCACTTCTAAGAGAATCCACTCCCACCTACAGCCCCTTGCCACCTCGTTTACCACAGGATGGACAGAAACGGTGCTGTTCCATGGGGGTGGGCCCTGAAGCTGGAAGGTCACATAGCTTCTAGGTTGGCGGCCACATCGGCCACCTGAGAGCAGAGGAAGCCAGTCCAGAGAGAGGAGTCAGTGACAAAGAGATGACAGGGACCAGGCAAGTCATGAAATATGGAGAGAGACAACGCATGAGCCAGGGAGATGCAGAGAGAGAGAGAGAGAGAGAGAGAGAGAGAGCAATTTTCCTCCTTGACTTCTTGGTCCCACTTCCAGTTGGCATGAGGCCTGGCTATACGTCATTTACTGCTCTTAGATTCTGTGAGATGTAGCCTCACAGTAGTCTCCCCCCCCCCCACCCTTTATTCTTGAGCGCGTTTGAGTGGGTTTCAGTTCCCTGCAACAAAGTGTACCCAGACTAAGACAAGGGAAAATTGGGGATATAAGTGCAGGGCTTGCATAAGCAAAAACGCATAAAGAACACTTAGGTAGGGAGGGGTGAATGCAATTATAAAGCGTTTGTGTTTGTTCACCCAAATGCTCCCTCATTTCCTGACAGTTGCGACCACAGATACATGCTACAGTCGCACACTCACATACACTGACATTCAGTGGACACCGAGACAAATGCAGCAACAACCAGATCTGCTTCTATGCAGACACCCTGCCGTGCATGGACACCCACCAGCACGCAGCGCTGCCCCTGCGTTCCTCACACCCGCACAGATGTGGAGCCACACCAAGTACACAGTGGTGCTGCCCGGGAGGCTCGGGCCAGGAACCGAGGCTCGACTGGGTTCTGAGCAGCCTCCCTCCCCAGCTGCCAAGTGACTCATCCCCAGGGCTGCTAATTAAAGCCAGGACAGAGGGGACAGAGAGGAGGGGAGGGAAAGAGAGAGAAGGCAAGTTTATTTTGGTGCCAACCAGGCATGCAGCCAGCTTAGGGGTCACCCACTTCCTGGGGCTGGGCCAGGCCGGGGCAGGGGAACACTAACAGGAAGGGGAAGGAGGACCCCCTTACCCCTTCTTGCCCCTCGTGAGCTTCCTGGAAAAAGGTAACTCCTTTGGGAAAATTACCCATCTTCCTCCCCCCCCACCTCCCTCCTCCTCCATCCCACAGTCAGATTCAAGTTCTACCCCCTCCAGCCTCTTGTCCTTACAACTGGCTTCTCCTCATCAACACACTCCCATTTGGGCTTGCCAGAGCTGGCTCATCTGTGTCGGTAGCCCGCTTCCATCTCCCCCATGGATCACCCAACACAGGCCTGGTACATAGGGAATGCTCTGTTCGTGCTTCTGGAAAACAACTGGGTTAACCCCGGTATAGCATGGTGACCGCAACTCTGATGGTCTGGATTCCGATCTGAGTTCTGTGGGGGGGGAGGGGGTAGATTATTTTAACTCTGAAAGCCTCAGTTTCCTCACCTGTAAAGTGACTAGAATATATACTCTGTAGGATTATTGTGAAGATGAAGTGAGAAAACACAGGTAAAGTGCCCGGCATGGTGGCCAGCATATATGGGCTTTAGCTATCACCCAGTAAGTGCTGCTGCCGCTGATAAATTATGCCCTGCCTCAGGCCTGGGGTAGCAGCAATTATACAGAGCTGAGTTCCAAGCCTGGCTCCACCACATAGGACCCAGGGGAACTCAGACAAGCCACATAAGCTCTCAGAGCACTGGCTCATATGTAAAATGGGGATTCACAATATGACACCATAAATTTACTGTAATGATTTGAGCCTGTCAAGGGGAGCCCAGCTCTCAGAAGTGGCTCCATGCATTGCAGCAGCGATTACTAAGGATAGCAGGAGGAGCGCAGACCTGTGGGGCCAAAGAAGCCCAGGAGCGAGGAAGCAGTCAGGGAAGGCACCCCAGAGTGCACAGGGCTGGAGTTGGACCCACCAGAGCCAGAGAGCATTCAGCAGGCGGTAAGTGACAAGGTTCCAGGAAAAGGAAGTGGTGGGAACAGAGAGCTGGGCAGGGCAGGCAACCAG